CTAATACCGATAAATAAGTCGAGCTATTAATATAATATTATTTTGGGGTGTTACAAAGTCACTTTCCACAGTCTTTTCATCTTAGCATCTGTTGCACTGGTACTGGCCTTTCCACAAGTTCCTGAGTACATATCGATGTACCTACCATATCTAACACCCTTCTTAAAGTGATCTCTAACACTAAGCCAACTTCTCTAAAGCCATGAATCATTTTGATGCTGTTGAATATCAAACAAATTGGATTTATGAAAATATTTCCCCTTCAGCACCTTACTAACTAGTAAGTTAGGCTGTGTCATGATTCTCTAGAATTGTTTAGATATCAAAGCATCATTAAAAACTACCATATACTTAAAACCCAACCCTCCCACCTCTCTCATCTCAGCTAACTTAGCCTAGGAAGCCTTATGAGTTCTATCCTTCCCTTGATCATTCTTCCCCCACCAAAAAGAGCTAATCACCTTGCAAATGTGAGCACACAAAAATGGGAAGTTTAAAACAAGCCATCACATACACAGGAAGAGCATTGAGAATTGTGTTAATCAAGATGTCTTTGCCTGCATCACCCAAAAAGGAATTTTTCCACTAGAAACTCTGGACTTGACTTTATCACAGACATATCTAAAGGTCTCTCTCTTAGATCTTCCTACTCCTAGAGGTGGCCCAAGGTATTTAGAATTGGAAACACAAGCTATACCTCTCAAAATGGAACAAATATCAGACATAGTATCAGAAGAAGTATTTTTGGAAAAAAAACACTGAAGACTTGTGTAAATTCTCTGCCTGCCTAGATGCTCTCTCATAATTTTAACTAAACATCATTTTACATCATTTATGTCTTATTTTTATATCAAATCAATTTTATTTATTTTATCTTAAATATTATTTTAATATAAACTTAAAATTTAACTAACATAAAACATATAAATTTTTCAAAATTTAGCTATGATTAACCAATAAAACTCTTTTTGAACGTCACATTTCCCTTTGATTGTGGAACTAATGCATCAAAAACTCCTCTTTAACATAAATGCTCCTTTATCATGTCGTCTCCGCCGCATCAGACAGAAACCTTGAAGGATGTCCTGGACTTCTTCTCAGCAGGTTCTTATCCTTCAATAAAACATCTCGAGTTAATATGTCTATTTTTCAATTTTCACCAATCTTTTGACATGATAATTGTTCTCTCCTCTTCCTACGTGTGTTCTTGCACTGTAGGATAATCACACCAAAACTTGTATCCTAGGGTTAACGCTGGGTTGGCCGAACCAAGATCTCATCGTCGTCGCATTTTCTTTGATTCAAAAGCCTGAGTCTTGGGGGACGACGATGAGCAACGAGTTGAGTGGCAACGATGGCGGTGAAGAAGCTTCAGAATTGGGAGGAGGGTCCTTACCACAAGGGCACGGTTACGTTAGCGGGTGGATGTACGTCAATCACAACGGGCAGATGTGCGGCCCTTACATTCAGCAGCAGTTGTACGAGGGCTTAAGTACCGGTTTTCTACCGGAGATTCTCTCAGTTTACCC